TTGGCAAGCACAAGAGCATATTGGGGTTTTAGCTAGCAAAGGGACACCATGACAAAGACTTCTGTGATACTTTATGATCTCCACACTGAGCTTGTGTGTTTAAGACAAACTGGGAACAATGAGGACAATGTTCCTGCATCTTGATGGCATACACAGCAGAGGTTTTTTTTTCTCCTTTGCGGCCTATATCATATGTCTCATGTGCAAAGCATCAACAACACAGGACTAACGTCCACCGTGCTCAATTTGTGACAAAAGATTGGGCTTAGGTTTGTGCCAATACTGATCAAACAAAGAACGCCTTGATCTGCCCCAATCTTTGAAATGGGCTCGCTAGCAAGACTGAAGTAAGAAAAGAAAGCTATAATTATGGTACAAGACAGGGCTTGAACTCAAGTGTCCTGGGTGAAAATCTGGGCTCCGCTGCTATTAAATTAAATTACAGCGGAGCTCCATGAATCCAGAAGGTAAAGGAGGTGCCTACTGGGCTATATGTATGTGAATGATAAGTCCTTCAATGGGCTGCTTACATCCAAATCGGGTCGGTTGTGCTAGACTTGACACTAGGCAGGTGTTATGCAAATGGTAGATAATAACACGAAGACCAGCCTGGACTTCAAACAAAGTGTTTTAAATGGCAAGAAGCAGTTCAGTTAAGTAAAAAAGCTGAATATAATCTCCTTAACTACCAATCAAAGATGACAGTTTTCAGTGGTTTTATCATTGCCCTAAAACCTTAGGCTACCGGCACAATACCAGACATATCTCAGAGGATTGCGAATGTTGTTAGTTGAGCTGATGAACATTGTTCAGTTAAACAAATCCCTTGCTGAGAAGGACAGATCTAACATCCTTACATGTCTTTTCAGAATCGCTTTCTGAGATGTACAGACCGACCTTGGCGGCGCTTGCAGTGTTACTCTGCTCTGCAGCTTTGGCAAATGGAGGGAAAGTCTTGGTGTTCCCCCTTGATGGAAGTCACTGGATCAACATGAACGTCATCATCGAGGAGCTTCACTCCAGAGGCCATGAAGTCACCGTGTTGCGCCCACCAGACGCCTGGTACATCAAGTCGGATTCCCCTTACTACAAGTCCATCACGATGAGTGTTGCGGGTGGTTTCGAGAAGGAAAACTTTGGCGACTTTGTGTCCAGAACATTGGAGATGCGGCGGCAAGGGGCATCATTTTGGACTCGTATGGCTCTGGAGATTGACCTGGTGAAAGAGTTCTACGAGTTGCACAGAGTGATGCTTATAATGATGGAGGAAATGTTTGCAGACGACAAACTGATGCAGAGCCTCCGCGATGCCAAGTATGATTTGGTTCTGACAGACCCTGCGATCGGTGGAGGGGTTCTTGTGGGTCACCGTTTGGGTCTTCCGCTTGTCTTCAATGTTAGATGGACTATTCAGGGTGAAGGGCATGAAGCAATCGCACCTACTCCACTCTCCTACATCCCCATACCAGGGTCAGAGTTGACTGACAAGATGACCTTCACTGAGCGGATCAAGAACATGCTGTACTACTTCTTCACGCGTCTTCAGATTTGGTACGTCGCAGATTCAAACTATATACCATTCGTCCATCGCCACTTCGGCCCGGACGTCCACTACATGGAGCTGTTCCAGTCAGCCGACATCTGGCTTATGAGGAATGATTTCACGTTCGAATGGCCTCGACCCACAATGCCCAACGTTGTCTACATGTCAGGTTTCCAGTGCAAACCCGCCAAGCCCCTGCCCAAAGAACTCGAAGATTTCGTGCAGAGTTCCGGCGAGCACGGCATCATCGTGATGACTCTAGGGACCCTGGTGGAAAAACTTCCTGAGGACATCACAGAGGACATTGCAGCTGCCTTTGCAGAGCTTCCCCAGAAGGTGATCTGGAGGCACAAAGGCAAAAAACCATCCACGCTTGGAAACAACACCTTAATGCTGGACTGGTTGCCCCAGAATGCCCTCCTGGGTCACCCCAAGACCAGGCTGTTCGTGGCCCACGGAGGCACCAACGGCATGCAGGAGGCCATCTACCACGGCATCCCCCTGGTCGGCCTGCCCCTCATGTTCGACCAATCCGACAACTTTTTCAGGATGAAAGCAAGAGGTGTGGCCAGAGTCCTAGACTTTGGGACAGTGAACAAAGACAACTTCCTGGAGGCGCTGAAGGACGTCTTGTACACACCGTCCTACCGGGAGAACATGAAGGTTCTGTCCAGCCTGCACCGAGATCAGCCCATGAAGCCGCTGGACCGGGCCATGTTCTGGATCGAGTTCGTCATGAGGCACAAAGGAGCGGCCCACCTGAGGACAGAGTCTTACAAGATGTCCGTGATCCAGTACCACTCGATCGACGTAGCGGCGTTTCTGCTGGCAGTTGTTTTGCTAATATGTGCTCTTTTCGTTTGTACAGTCAAGTTTCTCTTTCGAAGGTTATTTTACGGAAACAAAGTCAAAAAGGAATAACATTTATAATCTGTACTGCATTTATGATTTCGCCCTAAGTCGGCTGGGATAGGCTCCAGCCCCCCCGCGACTCTAGTGAGGATTAAGCGGTGTATAGAAAATGGATGGACTGCATTTATGATACAAATAGTTGTACACAAACCTCACATTTTCTAATGACAACATCTAAACGGGTCATAGTCCTGTTCTGTTTGTTGGTTAATCAGCAGGATCTCAAATGTGTGAATAATTTGGTGCAACCAAATGTTTTGGATTGTTGGGTGTTTCTGTCTCTGCCTTTGTGAAGCGCTATGAGATGATTTGTTGTTGTAAATATGCGCTATACAAATAAAATTGAATTGAATTGAATTCAACCTTCAGGGAAGCAAATCAGGACGTTTTATGGAATAATGTTGTAGCAGTGCTCTTCCTATTGTCGTAACTACTGCTGATGAAATACAATACATTTTATAAGTGGCACATGTTGTGTAATTTTATATGAATCAAAAAAATTGTTAGAAACAACTGTAAATATCTATAAAGTAGGTTGTTTTTTTTCTTAGCTGATTTAAATACAGTATAAAGAACATTTTTGATGGGAATATGAGTACAGTTTTGATCCTGTTTTTTTTCTTTCTTTCTTTTTAACAGTAAACCTGTAAATATTTCATTCAGTGATTCTGACCTTATGATGTAAAATTCAACAAAATAGTAAAAAAAAAAAAAAAAAAAAGGAAAATTAAAGTTTTTCTTTTTAAAAATGACATTTTTCAGTCCTTAATATAGTTAATTTTTTCTTTCCAATAACATAAAATACTTGTAAAATTACATCTTTTTTATACTAATTTTACAGTCACACATTGCAGATAAATGTAAATTAATACAAATTATCCTGTGATTTTACTCGATATTATCTGTACTTTACCAAAATAAGGAAAATCTGCAACACAACTATGTTTTTACAAAAATAAATCACAGTTAGCTGCACTGAAAGCTGCTCATGATGTCACGTGTAAGCACGCGACATCTAATAAAAACTATTATCAATCAATTTTGTTGCTTTTTATGCAAATCTACGTTCAAAAATATACCAAAATACCATCAAATATTTACCTAATTTAATTAAAATGACATGTGCAGGAGGCTTGGTGAAGCTAAACACGCTTTCTAATTGGTGTTGGCGTATTGTATTTGAGCAGTAACTAATCTCCAGCCTGCTCTTTATCGAACATCTTATAAGTTCTTCTTGTTTTTACCTCCTATTTGCCGCATGAATGAAACTCTACAACGGCAGGTTCACACAAGAACATCTTGCATCAGTGCTGAATAATGGGTAGTTTTTCTGTTAAATAAGGAAGAAATAAATGGTGACAGCTCAGGTTACTGTTCTGTTCTTTGATTCAAGTGGGAAAAATGAGAAAACCTACACGATTACAGCAGCTTATCGGTGTCTTCTTACATCTTCAGTAAATCACTTAAACGTTGTCACATTTCTCACTTAATGCTTTGTTGCTACTGTCCGGTTGGCTAGGTGTGCAGATTAATGGATGTAATTTAATGTAAGTTGTAGCAGCAGCTTCTGTTTCCTTCTGGCTGTTGTCTGTAGAAAACACTTTGAATATTAAAACTCTGTTGTTGTCACCAGTTCTTAGATTTTCTGTTCTTTTCCATTTAATCCAAATGTTGAAATGAAAGTGAGTCATTCAGTGCAAAACCAACCACTTCCTCCATCTGACTCCTCGGAATTTTCTATTTTCTTTCTTTCTTTTTTTTTTTTATATATAAACTTTGGTACGTTTACTGAAACCGTGCAAAGTTTCACCTTCATACTGTGAATATTTTCAGAGTTAAAGGCCCTTGAAATACACCAATTTCACACTTTTAAGGGACTTTTTTTTCTCCATCATTTCTGATAATTTGAATATAACATACACATTTGAGTTCTGTTTAAAACTGCAACTAAATCAGTTTGGCATCCATCCAGGTGTCACAATCTAAAGAATAAATCAGTTTTTTGTTCATTTTTTCCCCCCTAACTTTGAGCATCAGTATTATGGGATGTCTCGTAGTGTGAACAGTCAGACTGCAGCAGTATACTGTCATAGAGTCATAGAAACAATCAGACAACGGAAGGAGCACTTTTGCACACATTTGATATCAGAGTCACCATCTAGACATGAATAATTCTGTGGTGAAACAGTATTCTAACATGAAGGCATGTAGGCATGAAGGGAAAACCCTGCACTAAATATACTACAGTTGTTGTACATAAAAAAACAGCTGATTCTGAGGAGATCAGGTGACAGCGTTCTACAGATTTGATTGATTTACCCTAAATTTAGGCTCTGTCCTCTTGTGTTAAATCCCAGTGAACAGATCTTGGTTTATGAGTTGAATTTTTCTTGAAAGCACTTCATTTCAGAGCTCTCTTATGTTGCCGTGTTACATTTAATCCTAATTTAATTCCATATTCGTCATTTCTTTGTTGGGTTTATATCTTAGTAAAGCACTTTTTCGCACTCCTTCAGCTCAGATTTAAGTTTTGTATTTCACTCACTGTGGTTGTCTGGAGTAGAAATGGAGGATTCTGCAGCCATCCGGTCGTCCTGCCGCTTGTCAACATCTGCCTCCTTGTGGTGGGGAGAGGAAGGACTGAATGGAAAAAAAAAAAGCGAGAGAGACGTTATCAGACTGCAGGAAACTGTACCTCATGTTGAATTTATCTCCAATCTTAGACTATTTAAAGAGCATAAACAGGAAGACGTGTTGAGGTGCTGAACTGTCAAAGCAAACAAGTGGGTATTTACACCGTTACATGAAGGAAAACAACCTTCTAGGACTTAGTTCTTACTTATTTTACGAGCCCTTCCACTGACTTTTTTTTTTCCAAACATAGCAAGGGATTCTACACTGCAATCTAGAGGTATTCCTTCACTAAAAAATTTTTTTTTCTTTTCTTTTTGATTGTTTTACCATGTGAAACTAAATAAAAAACCTTGAATTTGTTGGGTTTCATGTGCATTTCCTCAAAATTAGTCAAGTTCATACCCATCATTAAAAATACTCTAGAGTCTTAGCCTTAATATTTAGTTGTATTTTCAAATTATTATATTTTTACTCTCTTTTTCATCAATTAACTGGTGGGCAGAGACTAAATTAATCAACCATTTTGATAATTACATGATAAAGATGTCCCTTTGCACACTCTGAGGGATTGCACTGTTCACTTTTCTCTATTTTTAAACATTTTCCAGACTAAACAATGTAATCTTTCAATAATACGTGCAAATCCCAAGTCCTGACCTGACACCATTCTTCACGTATTGTAGAGTAACTGTTTGAAAATGCTGGTCACTTCCTGATACTGATTTGGTCATTCAAATCTACAACAACTTAAAGGATAATTCTGGCTTATTTCAGCTTTCTGTATTTCCCACTAATGCGTCTACTGACAAGCTTCCTGAACATGTACAGAACATCAAGCTTGGATGCAGAAATGCACTGCAGAGCACATGCAGTGCATTGATTTTAATAACTGTATTTGAAGTGCGCATTTCCTAGATATATATATATATATATGGATATATATAGATATTCGACCAGGACTTGGCATCTGCAGATACTCAGGACGTTATTTCTAATTGGTACAAAAATGCATTTCAGTTTGAGTTCGTGTGGCTTTGTGGTGTTTTTTTTTCCATCACACCCTGTCGTCTGGTTAAGTTCCAACAAAAACAGGATTTAACTCTATGTGTACCTGTTTCCAACACAGATTGCATTTGAGCGTTACACATCTGCTCATCTTAACACTCCCATTATTGCGTGACTCTGTGAGTGATGCTAACTTTGCGCCTCCTCAGTAGAGATTTATGGAAACAATAAGTCAAACAAAACAAATCGATCCACCCATCACCAGCCTCACCTCCTCGGACAGACCCGCTCCTCTCCTCCCACGCTGCCATCTTTCGTTGGCGGACTGCCAGCGGTGCTGAAGGTCGTCTCCAGGTAGCTGAGCGGCAGTGTCCTGTTGATCGGTTGTTGGATCTGAGCTCCGCTCCAGAGGGTCAGCGCCGCCCGGCTGCCCACGTAGAAGTGGACGAGGGCGGGTAGGGAGTCGAAGGCCTCGGCCTCCAGGCTGTACTGCACCCGGGTGTACGTCTCCGAGGACTGGACCGCCGTCTTCTTAACCAGGAAGTGGAGGGTTTTCTGCTCCCAGTGGCTGGTGAGGACAAAGTCGCCCGGACTGGACTGAGAGTCCCTGATGAGGAAGTCGCCGTGGTTCACCACCAGACTCTCTGACACCTGAGGACACAATTTAATCGCTTTTATACAAACACACCTGCATCACAGGAAGTTCGTTACACCTTATGGTGACAGCTCTGGAGTCTCTGGATGCTGTCCAACTGGTGGGGATGTTCCCATCTGATCTCAAAGACCAGAACCAGGGCTGATTAAAGTAGTTTTGACCTGATTGGGATCAGCATGAACTTCAGCCTGATCCTGTAGCGTTGCACGGGTGTTTCAAACAGGACACTTGGAATGCACATTGTAAATTGTTTTCAAAGTTGACAGACAGAAGCGTTACTAATCCAGTTGTCCTTTCTCTTGGTGTTGTTGTTTTTGTTTAAAGAATTATGACTCTGGCTGCAAAATCAGCTTTGTCACTGAGTTATATAAACAGCATTCAAGTCAATCCGAGTTTGTCTTGGCCATATCAGATCTAGCCAGAAGTCATTAATCACCACAGAAGTCTTCGTCATGGTGCCTCTTTACTAGCTAAACTCCCACAATGCTCTCTGCTGCCAACATGAACTTCCTGTAGCCTGAGTGACGCCTCCTCTGGTCTCTATAGGCTCCACCTGGTGAAACAACCAGGTACTGCAGCTGATTTACAATATATTTACTGACATCATGTAGAGAATACAGGTTTTATTAACCACATTTTGGAGCTTGTGGAGCCTCAGTACATCCTACAGTGTTCTACACGAGCCTCAGAACAAGGTTTCTGAACACCTACAGAACATAAAGGAACAGACTGGATGGGTTTTGTTACTTTGGTGTATTATCGAGGAAAACAGTGTCAGATTTAGACCCGGAACATAGACTCAAAAGGACCACGACATCCTCTCTAATTGGTCTAAACATGCATTTCAGTTTGAGTTGGTGGGTTTTGGTTGTGGTAGTGAGGTCCCAACAAAAACGTAATTTTAGGCACGCAAAAGTTTATCCATTTCCAATACGGACTAAACCGACTATCTGCTGGTCTGAACAGTCCAACACAGAGGAGGTGATGCATTTTTCAGCAAACAGGTGTTCAGACGTCAACATTTAAGACGGAGGCTAAGAAGAAGCTCCTCTGGAAATGCATATTAAAATATTCTAATAGACCCCAAAAATAAAGTGATAAACCTTCGTAATATTGTTAAAGAAACTTCTGATGACAAACCCTTTAATCCAGCCCGGCTGCGTAACTCAGTGCAAAGCTTTTAGGTGAATTTTGCATAAAGTTTAGACATTAAATCTGTTAATTCTTTAGTTTCCTATCCATCTCTACCTGCTTTAAAGCCAACAATACTTTTTTAGGGTGATCCAACTCAACTCTGTGGTCGTTACAGTTGGTTTTTAGTTGTGACAAAGTCTATTTTTAGTCTCTTCTTGTGTGCGATTGTCTACAAAACGCTGAAACACTCCCTCCACAGTTGCACAGCCTAACGGCGAGTTGGTGTGTGAGCTGAGGCGGACCTCCCAGGGGATGCATCCATGGTACCAGGCGTGGCTCTTCAGGTCGCTGCCGCTCAGCTTCAGCTCCTCCTCCAGCTGCTTCTTCAGCTGCTCCGGTGGTGGCTCCAGCCAGAACTTGTCCTTGGAGAACTGGAAAGGCATCACACAGTCAGAAACAGGAACACAGCACAAGTAAAAGTTTGACCTCCTCTGCTGCTTCTTCACACCTTCACGTCAAAGTATCTGAACAAGACTCGCTGCTGTAGCCGAACAAGAGAGTCAAACTGCAGCTGCCTGTTGTTGTGCGACTGTGTGTTGACAGAGGAGGAGGGAGGGCAGCTCCAGCGCTCCCACACTGGCATCCGTCCATCCGTCCATCCATCCATGCCGGCGGCACCGGAGGCCCGGTGGAGTCCTGGCCTCGTCGCCACGGCAACGTCATTGTGCGACGGAGGTCATCGCTCAGCGGCGGCCTTTTGTGCGTCGTGTCTTTTGGCAAACACGACAAAAACGAAGCTACTGTATATCAAGAGTTTAATGTCGAGGACGAGCTGGGAAGGGTTTGGTTTTGAGGGACACACACACATGCACTGTAAAAATTTTTTGCTAAAAACGGTGAAAACGTCGCCCAGCAGCTGTAAAATAAGGATATTTGCAGCTTCTTCAGTGAATATTTTCTGGTTTCTTTCCTCTGTGCCAGTAAACTGAACATCTTTTGACTAAACGAGACATTTGAAGAAACTCTGATCTACTTTTTTCACCATTTTCTGACATTTATCGATCAAAAATCTGATCCATTCATTCAGATATAAATCAAAATTGTTGTATTTTAATATCACACGTTGTAAAAGAATTATTTGTGAAAACACAGATTTTTGATCTGGACATTATTTACAGGTATTTTTTACAGTTAAAGTGTAATTTTTCCAGATATTACCGATATTTTTAACAAAATTGGGGAAATGTAGAAAACAAACATCTGTATAAAAATGTATTTAGAATTTTTCAACCTTTAATATCAATATTTTTTCAAATGATGGCAAAAATCTGTCATAATTATTAGGATATACAGTTATATTAGAAGATGATAAATGTTGCTTATTTTTTGCGTAAACAGTAAAAATAGTGTAAGTTTATGGTCAAAATATTTAAATGAACAAATCTATTAAGAGTAAGTAAGAATTGTTACGATATATAGTCATATTACAATATAATAGCAGTAATAACAAGAATAAGAATAATTTTTGCTTACAAAAAATAGTGTAATGTTGAAATGATTTACAATTATTTAAATTATTTATTGTTTTTTTTGTTTGTTTGTTTTTACAGCCCACATGTAAAGCCTCTAAAATAACATTCAACAAAGGATTGACCGTTTTTCAATTCTTGATAAATGCAATTTGTCTTTTGAATAACGGCAAATATATGTAAAATATTTTTAGAATTTTTATTTTTTGCTGATTTAAACACAGTCAAAATGTGCAGGTTTACAATCAAATGTCGTAAACAGTGAAATTACACTTTGTAAAAATATCAGATTATTGATGTGGACATTAATTACAGTTTGTTTTTTACCGTCAACATGTAAATTAATATTATGTTTCTGTGATTTTACTAGAAACACTTGCTGTTAACAAAACAGGCAAAATCTGTTTAGAAATAGTTGAAATTGTTTTTTTATAATCCTTAAAAAACACAATTTCTTTCAGAATAATGACTAATATCTGTAAACTAATGATATCTTTTTACTGATTTATGTTCTAATGTTGAACCTAAATCGGCTTTTAATTTATGTTCAAATGCTGTAAACAATAAGAGATCATTGACGTTATTTACAGCTTTGGTCCGTTTTCTAACATCTAAATATTAATTAATACTTTTTTTTCAGTGATTTTAGATCAAATCCAAAAGTCAACAGAACAGAGAAAATCTATGACATAAGAGTTAAACAGTTAAAAATCTGGACTTATTTTTACAGTGTCTGCCGGTTTATTTACTGGCGGTGACGTGTTGTTGTGTCCCCCCCACCCCCCCGAGCTCTGACAGAATGGTTCGTCCCACCGGACCGTCAATCAGGCAGCGGGCCAAACCACTTCAGAACAAAACAGGAGTGTGTGTGTGTGTGTGTGTGTGTGTGTGTGTGTGTGTGTGTGTGTGTGTCCCTCTAATGAATGGCCTTAATTTCATCAGCATTATCATTCATTGGCAGCTCGTCCCATTCAGACCAGCGTGTTTGTCAAGTATCCAATTAGAAGTCAATGGGCTGGAAGCTCGTCTCTCTTCCACCTTTTCCAGCCGAGCGGAGGCCTCGCCGGTTGCCAACGGTAACCGAGGCGGCGTCCAACTATGTCGCCGCATTCCCCGAGTCCTTTCTGTCGCCAGAAACCAGTTGTTTTTTTTGTTTTTTGTTTTTTTTCCAAGGAAGGCGAGAACAGAAAGAGTGTCGGTCTGAGAAGAGAGAAGCGAGAGAAGCAGCAGAAGGAAGCAGACGAGGTGGAAACAGGCGGCAAAGCTCACCTTCACGTATTCTCCGCCGCCGTCTGTCGCCTCCCGAGGCCTGGAACACAGAAACACGTTAGAAAGGTTCATATCTAAGTACAGGTGGCACAATTTCAACCCAAATATACGTTCAGCTTCCATTTCCTCACAACGTTGTTCACATGTATGTTTTAAAAAGCAAAATTAAACTAAAGCAGTCAATGTAAACGTATGAAAAGCCTCTTAAAAGATAGAATGAGCCACGCAACAAGCTCGCTGCTGTTTGTGTTGTTGCTGCTAAAGCCAACTTTTTCTCCTTTTTAAATGTAAAATAAATGTAAAAAGTGAAAAATGACACTGAATACTATTGGATTTTAACAACAGCATATATCTGTAAAATAAAACTATATTCAGATGATTTCAATACTGTAAAAAATCTGTAAAATCACACTTAAGAAAATACTTATTGTGTTTAAAACATTGTGTTTTAAAATGATGACAAATATCAGTGAAATAATGATTTTTTTTCCCCAGCAGATTCAAGGACAATTAAAAAATAAAACAAAAAGCATGAAAACAGAATTTTGAGGTGTATATTATTCATATTTTTTTAAATCATTAATATGTAAAATTATTACATCTTTTCTAGAATTTTACTAATTATTATCTGTAATTTAACAAAATAGGGAAAATATGTAAAATAACATTTTAGTGATTATTTACTGTTTCAATATTTCTTTTACACTTTTTTTTAACTGCTGAAAAATAAAATAATGATTTTAAGTCGATTCAAAAACACTTTAAAGCAAATTGTGTAATTTTACCAAAAACCCATATAAAGAGTAAAAAGTACTGATTTTGGACGTGGACATTATTGAAATTTTTTACCAGTTTTTTATGGTTAACATGTAAAATGAATAATTTTTTTTCATTAATTTTACAACTTAATATCTGTAATTTAACAAAACAGGGAGAATCTGTAAAATAACACTTTAAATGTTTTTGAATTATTTAATGAATTTTTCTAACTTAATGATATTTTTTATAGATTTATGTACGATGAAAATGTGTAATTTTACAGTTACACATTGTAAAAGAACAAATTACTATTTGTAAAATTACAGATTTTTTGTGTAAAAAAATCTATTCAAAAAAATCCTTTGTATCTTAGTTTACATATTTTAATAAGAGCAAATACTCATCAAATAAAAACATTCTTAGTTGATTTAAATACAGTGACAATAAAAATAAAAAGTGTAATTTGATGGTGAAATGTTGTAAAAGAAAAAAAATACGTTTTTATAAAAATACAGATTTTAAAAGTGGACATTATTGACTGTAAACATTTAAATGATCACTGCAAGTAATTTTCTAACAAAACAGAGAAAATCTGTCAAATAAATTGAAAAACCTTTTGTTCAGTGCAGACAACAGAAACCTGGAACACAGTTAAATGTAAACGATTAAATCACACCATAAACACCTCTAAAAACTAAAAACTACTTCCCTCAGGATGACAGTTCACAGCCCTGACTTCCTGACTGATCGTCTTTGTGTGGTTTGTTCAGATTCATTGACCGTTTCCGCGACAACAGGAGCAACAAACCCGACAGACGACATCATAGTTAGGCTCTGATTGGTTTGTTTGGAAATGATCAGCAACACTGAAGCCTCACAGTTTAAAATATTATGTTTGCAACATCCTCTTCTTGATATTACAGCAGCAGTACTGGTAGCAGTAGTACTAGCAGCAATACTACAATAATACTACAACAATACAGCAGCAGCAGTAACACCAGCAGCATTACTACATGCTGTCTAGGGTCCTCTTACGTAACTCTCTCTGTGTCCAACAGCAGCTCTGACTTCA